TTTATGGTAGAAAATTTACAAAATATCTTCATGGAACTTGATCTTTTCTTAATATCCTGATGATTTTGGCATTAAAGAAAAGTCGATCATTTTGACACATAATGTATTGTTGGCTATTGCTATTGCTACAAATATACCCGTGCTACTTATGACTAGTTTTGTGCTCCAGGGTCACATATAATAAAAGAACCGGTTAATTGAAACGAAGCGTTCAAAAGAACCGATTCGGATAAAAGATTCGGACTTCCCATCACTACTGTACGAGCCGCGCGTGAGTTCCGCATACAGCCGGAGGCTGGACTGTACCATTCAGTCATCTAGAGGGGACACGCCTTCACGTTTAGGCTTACAGTCGGACACGTAAACTGACGGTTTTCTGGCGTTTATTTAACAATTGACTAGTTGGATCGAGGTTAAAAGTGAAAACATTCGTCATTTGCTAGAGAGTGGTTCAAATGGTAAGACTGCACAGGCGCAAACTGACGTCCAATGACGTAGGGGAGTGGTTATTTGCATATTGCTCCAGTAGCCCCTCACTGCAGAACACAAGATCCAGGGGGCGTGGTTGATCCACATCTAGGGGTGGAGATTGGTAAGTTAAGGGGTGGAGATGGGTGGGTTTATGGATCAGGGGGTGGAGACGGGTTGGTTTAGGTATATGTAAGGTGGGAGGAGTTGGATCTGGATCTTGTGTTCTGTAGTGAGGACCATCTCTGCTGAGAGATGCCTTCATAACACAAATGCTAATAGACAGATCACTGACACCAATGTTGTAAGGTCAGATTCAGTATTTATTTACAGGGTCAACCCTGATCTATTAAAAAACAGCAGAATAATAAAATTCAGGTAAATGTATTTCTGTATAAAGAATAGGCTTTGAGTCATCTAGGTTTTTCAGCATTTTTATCAGATAAATATATACTCTCACAGAACAATAAATTTAGTCTACTTTTAATTTATACATATAAAGCAGTATACATCCAAGGACTTAAGATTGGTAAGTTAAGGGGTGGAGATGGGTGGGTTTAGGGATCGGGGGTGGAGACGGGTTGGTTTAGGTATATGTAAGGTGGGAGGAGCTGGATCTGGATCTGGATCTTGTGTTCTGTAGTGAGGACCATCTCTGCTGAGAGATGCCTTCATAACACAAATACTAATAGACAGATCACTGACACCAATGTTGTAAGCTCAGATTCAGTATTTATTTACAGGGTCAACCCTGATCTATTAAAAAACAGCAGAATAATAAAAAGACAGAAACAATACGGAGGTTCCCCGTTTCAGGTAAATGTATTTCTGTATAAAGAATAGGCTTTGAGTCATGGTGGGAGGAGTTGGATCTGGATCTTGTGTTCTGTAGTGAGGACCATCTCTGCTGAGAGATGCCTTCATAACACAAATGCTAATAGACAGATCACTGACACCAATGTTGTAAGGTCAGATTCAGTATTTATTTACAGGGTCAACCCTGATCTATTAAAAAACAGCAGAATAATAAAAAGACAGAAACAATACGGAGGTTCCCCGTTTCAGGTAAATGTATTTCTGTATAAAGAATAGGCTTTGAGTCATCTAGGTTTTTCAGCATTTTTATCAGATAAATATATACTCTCACAGAACAATAAATTTAGTCTACTTTTAATTTATACATATAAAGCAGTATACATCCAAGGACTTAAGGCGTTAAAACGTAAGGTTGCATTTCTATGACGGCATCCTTCCATGACTCTCTGTTGAAGACTAATGTTAATCAGAGCAATGAGGTCCACTGAGCTGAGAGGGTACAAATAAATTAGAACTACAATCAACTTTGCATTACACTCTGCCTCATGTAATAACAATCTGTTAGAAAATCATTTGATCATTTCAGTTAGGAGAAAACAGCTTAGAGCAGCGGGAGTAAACGCTCATTTCCGTGATGACTAGAATTTGTCTATGCCCTCTTCACACTTCATATGTACACAAACAGATGATAAGCAACGCAAATCATCAGGAAGATCGTTGAGGTTTAACAATGCATGTCTTTCAGTGGGTTTTATACCAAGTTTCAGTTTGTGCACTGAGTTTGGCTGCTGAACAGATGAAGGTAAAAGAACTGCATTGACACACTTGTATTTTCAAGCCCTTGTGAAAGATTGGAAAAGACTTAGAATAAAATGTGCATGGACAAGTCTAATCAGAAATCAAAAAGATCTCGAGAAACCAATGTGCATTTAGCAGTTTCACTAGCTGACAGAAAGGTGGTATAAAAACGTACACATCAGCATCTGATTTAGCAAAGTCTCAACAATATGCACAGTCAGGGCAAAGAATGCCACAGCAAACCAACTGTATTAGTCAACCATAGAAATGATGCTTATTTTTGCAACGTTACAATCTAGAATTGATTCAAAACAAACCATGTCTATCATAAAAGTGGTTTTTAAGATCAGTAAAACCTGAATTGTATGTGGTCACACCGGATATTTGCATTGTTATGGTGCATAAGACGTTACAAAGTGCTCTCATTTGCCTAGTCCCTTTTTTCAGAGATACTGCTGAGATACAGTTAAGTTTCAGACCAAAATACGGTTGTTTCGCATACATTGCCAATCTCTTGATGTGGATGGGACAGGTTTTATTCTGTGTGCATTCAAACTATCTGAATATCATCATAATGTACAAGTGAGGTACAACAAAACGGTGTTAAAACAGACTTGACAGATAATTGCAAAATCACACAAAAAGGAATATTAAAGACTTAAATTAAATTATTTAGTACGTGTAAATAAAAGTTGACAAAACCATACTCATTGAAGAATGAGTGTATATAGAACTAAACATAACAATATTAGAAGAAAAAAAATAATAAAAATCAAGTGACGAAGTACAACAATAATGGCCCAAGTTATTTTCTATGACAATTTCAACCACTGATTTTGAAAGATATATATTTCTGTACAGTCCGTTTGTGATTTGTATTCAGGGACAAAAATGACACATTGATCAAGACGCAGGCACCAAACTGAGATTTAGTTTGTGTATGTATGTTATGTTTTCGAGAATGAATTGTCAAACAACATCAGCCCTCCAAGTAGAACTGATGAGTCAAAAAAATTTTTAAATAAACTACAGCATGTTAAGTTGGAGATTGCAGTAAATACACATGATAAAGTAATGGAAAAAGAATAATCATGGTCTGCATTAAGTTTTCAGAAGGCTTCACACTTGAAGGTTATCTATCGATCTATGTATCTCAGTAGTCGCTGTGAGTTGAGCAGCACACTGATTCGGTTTAATGGCTCCAGTGACTCTTACCGATCCCAGACAACCATATGCTACACTGATAAGCACTTTTAACCACTCCAAAACACTGGGTTGGTGTGCAGAATACATCTGCAGTACGTTCGACCTCATAAAATCAGGCCATTCGGTTTGTCAGTTCTTCTTCTGAATATTCCAACCAGCAGAAAACAGAATTCCTTGTGTACGTTGTGATATGCTGGATCAGTGTAACATGGGCTCTGAAATGGCTTGCACTGGTAAAGCACTGATTGATTTAGTCCATAAAAACCTTTGGGTGTTAACAGAAGATTGCATTTGAACATAATTAGAGACTAAATGCATGTCAAACATCATGTAATAAAAATGAGCTTTTTAAATAAACTACAGCATGTTAAGTTGGAGATTGCAGTAAATACACATGATAAAGTAATGGAAAAAGAATAATCATGGTCTGCATTAAGTTTTCAGAAGGCTTCACACTTGAAGGTTATCTATCGATCTATGTATCTCAGTAGTCGCTGTGAGTTGAGCAGCACACTGATTCGGTTTAATGGCTCCAGTGACTCTTACCGATCCCAGACAACCATATGCTACACTGATAAGCACTTTTAACCACTCCAAAACACTGGGTTGGTGTGCAGAATACATCTGCAGTACGTTCGACCTCATAAAATCAGGCCATTCGGTTTGTCAGTTCTTCTTCTGAATATTCCAACCAGCAGAAAAGGAATACATAAGAATAGCATAAAATAAAAATAGCATAGAAATAAAATATAAATATTAGAAAAACTGAGATAAAAAAAACTAAAAAGAAATATAAAAAAAAATGACAAGCACGACAAAATCAATAAAACTAAAATTAAAACTGAAAATATAAAAATAACAGCTAATTTAAAATATATTAAATGCTATAATAGTATATAAATAATACTAAAATAAAACTGGTTATAGTCAATTGTTATACATGATTGGTGCAAAGGTAGAATCATCAGTGCCACCAACTGGATGCAAAAGGACACAACAGGCAAAATATTTAATGTCTTTGTTTTATGACAAAACACTAATATATTTACTATAATCTTACGTAGATACACTACCGTTCAAAAATTTGGGGTCAGTAAGATTTTTTTTTTTTAATTATAACATTTAGGACGTTATAAAAGATTTCCTTTTAAATATAAAATAAATTCTATTCATTAAAAAAAATCTTGAAAAAAAATGATCACGGTTTCCACAAAAATATAAAGCAGCAAAGTTTTTCACAATATTATCGTTTTACTGTATTTTTAATCAAATAAATGCAGTCTTGGCAAGCCTTTGTGACTTCTTTCAAAACATTAAAAAAAATCTAACTGACCATAAACTGCATGACTTTAAAATGAACAAACACTATCAAAACACTGATATTCTTTTAGCACTAATTTTTCTTCTTTAAAGGGATAGTTCACCCAAAAATGAAAATTCTGTCATTAATTACTCACCCTCATGTCGTTTCAAACCCGTAAGACCTTCGTTCATCTTGGGAACACAATTTAAGATATTTTTGATGGAATCTGAGAGCTCTCTGGCCCTCCCATAGACAACAATGTAATTAACATGACCAACGTCCAGAAACGTAGTAAGGAGATCGGTAAAATAATCCATGTGACATCAGGGGTTCAACCGTAATTATACGAAGCTACGAGAATACTTTTTGTACAGAATTTTCATTTTTGGGTGAACTAACCCTTTAAGTGTTATGTTTGGCCTCTAAGGTGAATCATACTCACGTTGGGTCGTTTTATTCGGATGTAAGAGTGGAGAGCGTCCACATATGGCTGCTGTAGTCTTTCCACTAACTCGTGATCCTGCACGTTCGGTCGGTCTGACCCCCACCACACACACACACACACGACAAGAATAGCAAGAGTGATTGACACAAATGCAAAAGAATGATGCTGCATTTCATTTTTTGGTGAGAAAGTGCCTTGGGAATTACTATAGGATGGATCATTAAAAAGCTCTCAAAATAAACCAGTAGCACACCAGATGCCAATCTCAAATTAGAATCTACTAAATCTAATGGGTTATTAAAAATGGCTTCCCCTTTCAAAACATAAAATTGTATTAAACCCCTTATGACACTCAAACAAAGCTTAATTATTAGAAATCCATAATAGCAAACTGAATACAAATATAGCAGGAGGTTTTGTACTGTTATAAAACTCACTGTACTCATAATTATTTTGCTGTTTTTTTATTTCTTCTCCCCTGAAAATGGGGTGCACTGATATTTCTAAACAGGGGTAGGGACAAATAAATGCCTGATAAGACTCACCAGAAGACAACCAATATAATATTGGTGCTTGTGTCAAACTGACCTGCTGAGAAAATGTTGATAGCGATGAGCAAAGCGTACTCTGCCTCATCCAGGTGGAGGTCATTCATGCCTTTTGAAAACTCAAAGATGGGGTTGATGAACTCCAACTGCAGCCCTGCAGACGAGCCAGAGAGGACGGAGATCATTTTAGGGCATGAACAACAAAAACAGGTCTCAAATAAAACCACACATAATATTCATAAGGCTTGAACTAGGTGGGGGACTATATTACCAATATATATATGTTTTTTTTATTAACGATAAGAATACATTTCACAATATAGCTATTTTCCTGATTTTATTTATCTTTGTTATTAAAAACAAGAATAACGATGCAAATTAGACATACCTGTAAGCCCTAGCTATGACAAATCATATTCTTCTTTATTGTAAGCATTAGGAATGTTTAAAACAAGAACCCATATAAAAATTTCATCCAGTACCTGCTTTGGCAAAATCTTCCTTATTATAACTGAAGTCTTTGAGAAAGGTGATGCTCTCTATCGCTGGGTTATAACGTCTGGAAGTCTCTAGCAGCATGATCTACAGGAGAAAGTACAGTTTAGCAGGTATGTTAAACAAGCAGTACAGGCTCTGCTTAGTTTTTATGAGAAACAACATTTATCACCAGGTGGCATTTTTTCGAAAGTACTTCGTGTTACAAAATAACAGCAGAAACAAGTCTGCCAAACAACAGTGCTCCATCTGCGCACACAAAAACAGCAACAGAAAATGACCGAAACCAATGTGTGTTAAGAGTCAGTCAAATCTAACCTCTATAGTTGAGGTCTTCAGCAGGGCGATCTGGTCCTCTCGGGTGAGCTCCAGGAAGCCAGGCAGCTGTTTAGCAAAGTCTACAATCTCCTGCACAGACATGATGGCCAGCTCAGTGAAATGAGCAAACCGTTGCTGTCGAACCTCTCGGTTAAGTGGGTCCTGATTTAGTGGCCAAGGCTGAAAAACAACAGATCCTGATGTAAACTTTTAGAATCAATCCATTACAGATTCAGAAAGATTCATGGCACAATGCATAACTGGGTAATTGAAGGATTAAATACAGGTCTTTCTGAGCAAACGCACAACACAAAGGGCAACTGTAGTTGAATAAACGTATTAAATGCTTTACAAAGCAGAGCTACAATAGTAATAGGCCTTTTAGTCCGACTTCACAAAAACCAGACTAGTATGATTTCAGTCAGACAAATCAACAAATTACTGTTTTTGTCTGCTTTAAATCAAATTGTAAGGCGGCTCACTTAAATACACTTACAGTGACTTTGGGCCGGTCGAGAAAAGAGCGTTTGTTGCACTGTTTCTGCATGGCCACCAGTTTTTCGATCATCTCCTGCTGTTCAGGAGCCAGAGGGGGCATCTCAGGAGCAGGGCTGGGTACTGACACTGCAGAGGTACGTGCCGTCCCGTCTTCCTGTTTTTTCATCTTTTTTAGTCGGATCTGCTCTTCTGACAGCACACCTATAAGAGACGATAAAGCTGCTAATAGTTTGATAAGCTAAACAAGCACCACATGATCACAATGTCATATGAACATATCAGAACAGATAAGATAAAAGATTGGATGGCAGCTGTATGGACTGCTTGTGACGTTCATGTTTAATGAAGAACGCCAGACATAGGTGAAAAAGAAAATTACACTGCTGTCCCAAAGTTTTTCATAAAATTAATATTTTGATTCAGTAAGGATGCATAAAGTCACAAAATGTTCTATTTCAAATAAATGCTGTTGTTTTGAACTTTTCATTCATGAAAGAATCCTGAAAAAAAGTATAATGGTTTCTACGAAAATATTTAGCAGCACAACTGTTTTCAACATTGACGATAATTAGAAATGTTTTCTGAGCACCAAATCAGCATATAAGAAGAGATCATGTGACACTGAAGACTGGCGTAAAGGCTGCTGAAAATTCAGCTTTGCCATCACAGGAATAAACTACATTTTTAAATGTTTTAAATAGAAAGCAGTTATTTTATTTTGTAATATTTTACAATATTACTGTTCATTGTATTTCCGATCAAATAAAAGCAGCCTTGGTGAGCATAAGAAACTTCTTTCAAAAACAGCCTAGTGTTGATGTTCAAGTAGTGTCACTCACATTGCTCCAGCATGCCGGCCTCCCTGCACTTGCGCAGACGGCACTGCTGACACTTGCGGCGCATGTACATGTCCATCTCGCAGCGGCCCGAATTTTTGCAGGTGTATTGCGCTCCTTTGATGACGCTGCGTCTGAAGAAACCTTTACAGCCCTCACAGCTCAGCACATTGTAATGAAAGCCAGATGCTTTGTCTCCACATACGCTACACACCTCATTCCCCAACATCTTGGGAGCAGGGCCTTTCTTTCTCTTGACTGGCTGACCCTCTGCACAAACACACAGGACAGAAACACTTCCAAATCCAAAGCTTCATATACAAATAAATCATGAGTTAATACCCGACAACCTTATGAATGAGTGCATTTGTGTTCACTTAACCAGTTAGGCCAGTTCATCCACACATATTCACATAGTCAAACTGACACGCATGTTCATACATGAGTAAAAGTCACGTGTCACATGTTATGTAATAGGTGAAGTTCAATTCTGCATTATCTGAATCCTTTTGCACTATAAGCAAGTTCAGAAGTATCCTCCAGTCATTCAGTCTCACCTCGTGCAGGTGTGTCCTCTGTGGGGTACATCTTGATGTCGCTGGGCTCCATGAGCAGCGTGTCGTTCAGCTCATTGTGTGAGGTGCCGTATGAGGCCGTCTGACTGAGAGTCTCCTGTTTCACTACTGCGGTCGCTGCTGAAGGGCCCTCTTCGCTGGCACAGCACAGAGAGTCCCCTGTACACACATACCAACAACACACAGTTCTATTACAGCTGGGTCGGATTACTAACAAGGCATTCAAAACAACCAACTAGTCATTTAGAAAGGACCACTAGATTTTTTTGTAGATACTTTTAAATATAGTGTTGCATACACGTGCCATGGGTCATGTCCCATGTTGTGCTTTGCATGTTTATTATTATTATTACTATTATACAGAGAATCCTTAGGACTAGTCATTGACACAAGGTACCAAATAGTTGAAAATATCTTGAAAACCTTGAATAGACGTTTTGCGATATCTCTGGTTCTAATGGATGATTATTACAAATCACACAACCAACAACAACATGCATAAATATAACACATGGCCCAAATTTTATGTATGAATTTGTAAATTTTATTTATTTTTTTTTTACAAACATCAAAACACCCTAAAAATGGTTTATATGTTTTTAACCACATCTTTATATAAAACACTTCTTTACACAAATGGTAGCTTTATTAATCATGCTAAATTTATGCTTTAATTTAACTATATAAATCTAGTTATGTAAACTCCCAGTTTGGACACCAAAATGAAAATGTTGTCATTATCTCACCCTTATGTCATTCTAAATCTGTACGTCTTTTCTGAAGAATATTGGTAACCAAATTGTTTTGGCTACCATTGGGTTCCTTTGTATTCAAGAGAATAAATAAATACTTATTTTAGTTTCACAGAATAAACAAAGTCATACAGGTTTGGAACAACCTGAGGGTGAGAAAATGATAGAACTGACCAAACTATCCCTTTAAGCAACACTAATATTCTATCTAATAATTTCTATCAGTTTTGATATTTTGTTATTTATGCAATAAATTCAAACATTATCTCTCAATAACTAATAACACTTTTCCGACTGAATATTGCAATTACTTTTAAATAACTGGTGTCAAGGTGATTCTAGTTGGTATATGAAATCAGTTCCTCAAGTTCACAAAACCTTTCATTAAATATGTTGTAAAGTAAAGCTTGTGTTATTTTTCTTAGGAATAAAAAGCCACTTGGTTTGATATTTTATTATCAAATGCAATGACATTCATATATTTATACGTGTGACTAAAGTGGTCAAATGTGTTCTGGCAACTTTATATCAGTTTATCTTTATCCAGTCGCTGTATGTGAACATTTCACATTCTAGTACAAGAAAAACGAGAGTCTTACCATGACCAACATCAGTGATATCAGTCGTAGAAAGGGTGGACATCTTCCACACAGCCACTTGTCATAACGAACCAAGACTGCACCTGCAGAGAACAATAAAAGCCAAAGCTGAAGTCTTAAAAGACTGCCTGATTCCGTTTATAATGTTAAGTCACCAAAACCGCCTCAAACTGATACCATCTTTACATATATAAGTTTCAATATTGAATCAAAACCATCTACAAAGTAGAACAGCAAGCAGCACAGCGTGTTCAGAATGCAATGACACACCTGACACGTACAAAGTCAGCACACGTAATATGGGCAGCAGTGGTCTGCCACTCTCACTGCCTGAACGCACGCAATGCTGATCTTCACTGATGACTGCCAGTACAGTTCCTTAAGTAGTCACACTTCTGTATGCAAAGCTCACAAAAACTACACAGTCACCCTTTCACATCATGGGAATTTTTCTTAAGCTAAACTGTGCACAGCAAAATAAAAAATATACAATTGAGAAATATTCATCAAAGTGAATGTATGTTTTTGCCAACTAAGCATGCTGTACGAACTACCTACTTGAGAATAGGAATTGAAAGTGCAAAAAAAAATTGGTCAAGACTGGTCATTCATGGGTGTTGCTTTAAGAGTTTTAAGAACGTTTTAAAAACAGAGAGGGATATCTGATTTGGGGACAGTATTTTGGAAAAAGGTTCAATCACACTAACCGTGGTGTGACAAAAGTCAATGGGCAAAATAATTTGGTAATGTAATGTCATTTTCCTAATAGACTTCCAATGGTTGTTAAATTCCACTAAGTGAATTTCACATTAGTTCAAGTTTTTTGACATGTAAAATCACAGCTCTGACCAAACAGCAAGTTACTTTGTCTGCCAGTGACCTCTGTGTGGGCAGTCCACAACCACAGGCCCTGCCTTCTTTGCCTGGGAAATTTTGCCATGCAAGGGTAAATGTGACCACGCCTTAAAAATACAGCAAAATATGCTGTTTCAATTCTACAATTAAAATACTACTTAAGAAAACCAAAAAACAACAACAACAAAAAAAGACTTCTAAGGGTAACTTCTTTTAATATCAATGTCCTTAACTGACAGGCCAAATGTATTCCAGCTCCTCCTAAAAAAATTATATTGATGAAGATATGAAGAAATTCACTAGTATTCACTACTTACTTTAAAATGCACAGTAAACTTTTTTTCAGACCAAACACAAACAATTTTTTATTAAATACCCAACTATTCATTAAAATAACTGTACTTATTTTCTAATTCAAACAGAATACCTAACTTCAGTTAAAGCACAGCTATTTAGTTTAGTTTTTAGTACGTTTTCATTTTCTAATTCTTTTCTTTCTTTAAAGAGTAGTAAAAGTTATATAGATTTATAGAAAAAAATATTATCAGCTTAATTGTTGCATGCCAGAATTTCAATATCTGCATATCTTAATGCTGATATATCAAAAAGATCAGTTACAAAATATGAATTAGGCTGTTACACAGCAGGTTTACACACCCTAACATCTGAAAGATAAGCATCTAACTATGAACATAGAACGTGGATTAAACTGAACAAAAAAGTTAAATCCTTTCTGCATACAATAAAAACACCTAAAATGCATTGCTATTTACAGAACAGGTGCCCAGGGCTGCGTTCAGCCCCGACAAAAACGGTGCAAAACGTTTTTTAAACGGAAACGGTGGTGCGTTGAACACTCTGTTCTGATGACGCAAGAGTTGCAACTATGGCAGCTGAGAAGGACATTCTTTGTGCTCTTTTTGAAGAATTTTCGGAGCCTGATGAAATCGGTATAAATACGTGTTTAATACTGCAAAATACGCTCGATGGTACAGTCACTGCCCTTGCCCTCCAGAATAAAAGAGAACATCCCAATAAAGTGAAGGGATTTGTGGAAACTGTGGTTCCTAATTATTGTGATCCAACATTTGCCTCGCATTTCAGGATGAAAAGACAAACATTTCAGGTCAAGGATCATCCACTTCTTACCTCCGAGACTGTGTTATGATCTATATGACCTTATTATTTTTATTGTGAGTATTAGGCTTATCATTATTGCTGATCACTGTTGTTGTGCTATGACATTGTAATATTTACCCTTATATAATCAGAGGAATAGGCTATAGAAAAGTTCATGAAGGTGTCACTCCACAATGCAATAGCAAAATATATAAATATGTATAGTATTTTTATGTTACATTAATCAGTACTTAGCACACCTTCCTAAGGAAAGGATATGGACCAGAAGACATTGCAATTACTAAATGATATTTAGACAGACTTAAAGAAGTTCCAGATCTATACTTGTGCCCTTATTATTTCAGTTATTTTGCCTTTAATGTAAATAAACATGTGCAAACAATATACTTGCTCTTGTGAATTTATTTGGATGTTAATTACATTGTGCGAGCTGTCTCTTTAATACCGCGTGGTTTACATACATGTTGCTGCTGATTGGGCTGACATGTTTGACACACCCACCAAACAAGAGAAAACGCATCTCAAACCCCGTTGCACACCGTTGCACACCATTTCCAGGAAACATGTCGTTCAAACCGGAAACCGTAGCAAAACAGTGCACACCGGTTTGAGCTTGAACTTGCCCCAGAAGAGGAAAAATACAGTGCATGCATAATTATTATGCAAGTTGATATTCTGATTATATTTTTTTCCAAGCACATTTTCCCATTTCCAAACAACATCAATTTTAATAACTACTATTAATCTTGTATTTAATCACTTATAATCTATATATTATTGTTCATGAAGGCTGGAAGTGAAAAACGCCTTATAATCAGCGCACAGAATTGTGGCAGAGATGTAATCCCATAATGGAGATGCTGCCTCTGTAGAGTGAACCAAATTGTTCAGTTGTAATGTTCCATAATGATTAGGCAGCTTACTATTAGAGCAAATCTTTTGTAATCATACTCTCTTGACAAAACATAAGTGCTTTTTCTTCATTTTCAGGTGTTATCCTGTCTTCTGTGGTTTCGTTCAATCCCCAAAAGCCTCCTTTCCTGGTGGTCCTGGATGCTAAGTCCTTTAAAGAGATTGCTCGCGCTACCATTGACACTGCTATTCATATGGACCTGCATGGGCTTTTCATCCATGATAAGTCTACCTAAAATGAACATTAAAAATAATCCAACAACTAATTTTCAGGGAGTAGGATTTAAAAAAAAATCTTATTTGTTTATTTTTTTTGTAAAGATATATACAGTGGGGCAAAAAAGTATTTAGTCAGCCACCAATTGTGCAAGTTCTCCCACTTAAAAAGATGAGAGAGGCCTGTAATTTTCATCATAGGTATACCTCAACTATGAGAGACAAAATGAGA